CATTATAATCAGTTTTATCAAGTTAACTGAAGGGTTCATCGTATCACAAAGTCTTTGGCTGGACAATAGCAGTGGAGCAAACACTGAATTGCCAAGTGTTCAAGCAATGTCATGGTTTGAACGTAATCTACTTATAAGGTCAGGGCTTTCAAGTTTCCTCTATAACCAATTGCCTTAGTGGAATAGCTCAGCTTTACGGATTTAATTTCTTAAGATTGTCAAGAAGAACCTGTTATAGTCTGGGTGTTGTTGAAAGTAAAAAATTTCATCTTTAGAGTTCAATTTTCAAGCACTGGCCTAAACTAGATTCACTTACTCGACTATTCCATATGTAAAGATAATAATCATCATTGAACGTCTTAAACGAAAAGTATAGTAATTGTCATATGCAAATGATGCCTCATGTTGTCCGCACCTTATGAAAGGAAAAAAGGTTACATTGGTTAATTGCAAGAGCAGGGTACGGTGTTTGAGTGTATATTCTGGGTAAGGTCAAAGTCCTTGTTTTAAATCATGTTACTTCGTCAAAGATCTGTAACTTTAAACCATTTACAGAGTTTCTTAATTCAAATGATATTCAAAGAAATGCAAGTTTGCAAATGTGATTCATTGCTTGTCATCATTAAAGTAACATAAATTTATTCAAATGTCTTTACAAAAAACTTAAGAAAAAAAGAAAAGAAAATTCAAACAGAATGCCTCAAATGATGAAATGGTCTTCCTCAATTGGATGCCCCCAAGTTGTTGAAGTCGATCCAGTTCTGCTTACGTATCTTTTGTACGACTCTCTTGAATGCGTAACAGTTCTCAATAGTGTGCCCTGGGACACCGCCGTGATATTCACAATGAGCACTCTCATCATACCACTTGGGGTATGGGGGCTTCATGGGTTCCACCGGATATGGTGACATTACGTGGGTATCAAGAAGTTGTTGATAAAGTTCCTTGTATGTCATCGGAATAGGATCGAAATGTTCCCTTTCCTTCTTTGGGTTCTCTGAAATCTTGTTTAGAAGTACCTGACGGCACAGCTGCAGTTGATTTCGGTTTGGAGATTGTAACACATTTACTGACATGGTTGATGTTGTTAATCTCTCCATCCCGCTCTCGCATAGGAGGTTTCCTATTGGCCTCCCCATCCTTAATCTTGCCTTACTTTATGGCCAACTCGATCATTTCTCCGGCCATAACCAAGTCTGAAAAGCACTCTGATGTGATCGCAACCATGTGTCCGAAGTATGGAGCCTTCAGGATCTGTATGAAAAGCTTTCAGGTTTCCTTTTCATCTAAAGGTGGATGAATTTGCACAGCCAAGTCCCTCCATTTTTGTGTGTACTGCCTAAAACTCTCGTTATGCTTCTTTTCCATGCTTTGTAGCATGACTCGATCTGGCCTTATGTCATTGACATGCTTGTATTGTTCCAAAAATGACTTGGCCAGGTCCTTCTAGGTCTTGATATTTGATCGGCTTAGCTGGTTGTACCACCGGATGGCTGAGCCCGACAGACTCTCCTGGAAGCAGTGAATCAGGAGTTGATCGTTTCCTCCATATCCTGTCATCTTTCGACAGAACATGGTGATGTGAGCGGATAGACAACTATTCTCGTCAAACTTCTCGAATTTCGAGACTTAAATTTCGGAGGAAGAATTAAGTCTGGGACTAGACTGAGTTTCGCAACATCAATTCCAGGGTAGTCATGGTCTCCTTTAACTACTTTCATTTGATCCTCTGATTTCTTGATTTTCTTCTCCATCTTCCTTGATTTGTCCTCTTCGTCTGAATCCAGTATATGGTATAACCCGGATTGTTCTCAGGGTTAAATACAAAGGTCGAGGGCTTCACTTTTGTAGTAGATGAGTCCCCTCGGAGTTCCGGTAAGATTTTCAGGTGAGACAACTACTTGTGGGGTAGGTGGTATAGTTACCCCTTCCGGTGAACTTGCCCCGAGCGCACTAGTCTGTTGTAAGCCAACTAACTTGACAACAATCTGATCAACCAAAGACTCTTGGTTTTTCATGATTGCATTCAGAGTACTCAGACTACTCTGGTTTATCTTGTCTTCAAGTTCTTTCTATAATTTTACCTTGTTCTCCTCGATTTTCTCCATTCTTGATGCAATGTTCGAGGCATTAATCCAAAAATGTGTCTGTTATTAGAAATAATCCTTATTGGGGACAAAATTATTTTATCTTTTAAGAGATAAAAAAATATTCTGTCAGCTTCTGACATGTTGACTAGTCTTCCACCTTCATCCGTCACTGGTTGAATAACCTGTCGAACCACTCTGGCTTCTCTGGATGAACCGTGCAAATGACAAGTTGTTTGCCCCCAAAAAAAGTCTCGAATGACTATACCTCCGTCATTTATCTTTTGTTGAGCCTGTTTCCAACGAATACGTCATTGGAGCCCTTAATTGATAGGAACTATATAAAGTCCATTTGTTTGTTTATTGAATTCGTCAGCAATGGTCTCCAATTTCAATTATTATTTTGTCATTGTCGTCTTTGAAGTGACTCCTAAGATTAGTGGTTTTCATCTTGCCCCTGTAACTTTTGACATTCAGTTCTTCAAAGATAAACTTTCATTGTGCTTGATGTAGACCCGGTTCATTGAGTCCTTTATAATGCAGTATAGTGATATACTCTTCAATTGCGGGCACCACGTCTTCTGGATTAAATGTGACACATAGTCTCCTTGTAGACTGTCCTCTGCATTTTCATCTCTTGTATTACAACCCATTTGTCCATTAATGCAGATTATTCATGTTTAGCAAACACGTTTTTGGTGGATCAACACTTCTTTTAAATGATGCAAGTGATGAAAATAAAATGAAAGAGAAAAAAGAGAGTTAGTGAAGTAAAAATAATCAGAAATAATCATGAAAAATAAAAGTCCTACCCCACATGATATCTACCCGAACATGCTTAATATTCTTATCCGAACATGATTTCTATCTCGCATGCTAATTTCAAACAAATCTTAACCGCATACTTGTCTAGTTCGCATGCTTTGAACAGAAAATAAAGCAGGAAACAAAACAACCTAGGGTTTGGAATAAGGTTTTGGGGTGGGCTCTAATTCACTTTATTCTCCCGATTTATGTTCTAAAAAAGGTACTCGAGTTCTCCTTGTCGATGCCCCCTTAGGCTTGTCAGACCCTTAGTCCTAAGCCCATTACAAGCTCATGTGGACTAAGTTAAACTCGAGAGGATACATTCCCTTATGTCCGCACGGTGAATAAATTCACACGAAAACATAAGGTATATGAATCCCTAAGGCTACTTGCTAGGCCCGCTCAGTGAATAAATTCACATGAATGCGTCGCTTTCACCCCACTTAAATAGAATTCGGAGCTCGGGTATAGAGCCTGAGATAGAAATTTTTCAAAAAATCTCTGAAATCATTGAAAAAATATCAGTACAATTATTTATTTGAAAAATAATCAAAGCTAAATAATTGAAATCGAATAAATAAATTAAAATTTAAATTTACTATTTTCGCATAAAAGACAACCAGAAATTAATTCTGGCTTGACTCGCTTACCTGTCCCCAGCAGAGTCGTCAAACTGTCTCGACCGTCTTTCGGTTGGGCCCGAAATTGGGCTTCGACTTGAATTAATTGGGTTGGAGTTGCCACCGATCATTTTAAAAATATTTAAGTTGATCGAACACCATCTTACCTGATCTGCATTGTACCAGAAATGTGTCGGGTTCGAGATTCGGTTACAGTAAAAGAAGGATTAGCACCCTTGTATTGCCCTTTCGGTACCAATTAATTTATCGGTTGTCTTTAATTACGAAAAATCAAAAAAATTAAATTAGAATTTAAAAATCGATTCAAATTACTTACCTTTGATTGGTTGAAATTCTTCAAAAAAATAATCAAAAGTGTTAGAGAAAATAATAATAATAAATGAATATTAAATAAATTAAAAAAAGATTAATAATTCAAGGAAAAAAATAAATAAAAAAACAAAATAAGTAAAACAAATTAAAAATCTTAAATAAATTAAAAGAACAAAATGCTAAATTTTAAAAGTAGCAATACGAAGGAAAATAAATAAAAATAAAAACTTAAAGGATCAAATTGAAACAGATTGGAATGAATCGATCTAATTGAAATAAAAAATGTGCTGCAAGAACAAATAATAAAAGGTTAGGAGGACTAGATAATAATTAATTTCAAATATCAAATAGTAACTAAAACAAAAGCATAATATAATTAGAAATCCAAATCAGTATACATAGAAATCAAATTTAGTAACCAAATCGTAAAGATTACAAAAGATATAGCCTTTAGCATACGAATAACCCATATGAAGACATGTGGGTCCCTTCCCTTTAATATTTGTTGTTTCCACGTTTGGGTATTAAGAAACCCAAGCTTCATTCTACCTTTTTCAACAAAAACATAGAGATTTCATCTCTGAAAAAAAGAGTCTGTTCGTGCAAGAGTTAAAGGAAGAGTTAAAGGAAGAGTGAGATCGGTCGCCGCTCACCTTAATTGTCTTTAAAGGCTCGAAAATCCTTCTTCTGATGAAAGAAGCGCGGTGCTCTCTCCAAGACCAGGGAAGGCTTCGATATTATCTTTTACTCTTCTCCTCTTTTTGGTTTTTTGCTGTTTTTCTAACTGTATTTTTTACTATGCTTCTCCTCTGTATTTCGTATCTTTTCCCCGTGCCTTCACCTCTATTTTTGCACCAATTTATAGCCATGAATCTGGCTATTTTTAGATAGAATTTTAAGAGTCATATTCAAACTGAAATGCTCCTTTATTCGGTTTTAGAGTCCCACTTGGACTCAAATGCCTTGATTTAGTCTTCTGACTTGGTTGTTCTTCTTGTTACCGAGAAATCCGGGGATAGTGTTGTTGGGCAAAAAATTAGTGTCTACAATTAGCTTTACCAAACACAAAAGCTCCAAGCTTAGATAAAATGGTAACACCATGAACTTGTCAAAATCTTTTAGTCCAATGTCAACCAAAACACCAACTAAGATTTATCTAAATTGAAGCCTATTTACCGGTACGAGCTTTCTTCTTCTTAAGAGGCTCTGCACCTGCATCCATCAAAGGAAAGGCCTGAGTAGAAAAATTCACTGCAGTTTCAGTTGATCTTGTCAAGTTTGTGACCAAGATCGTCTCCTTCATTTTCTTCAATCCTTCAGAAATTGCACTGGCTCCATTCTCATACTGCCAAAAAACACGAGATGTTAACATAAAAAAGGGCTCCATTGTTGGGAAATGCTGCCAGAAATAGCAAGCCCCGGATTCGTTTTATAATATGCCAAGGAAGCAACATAAAAAACTAGATATGCGATTGCAATTAATGCATCTACAGTAAATACATCCATTTATGCTATCGTATGGCTCCTTATACATGGAAAGATGGCATTTTATAACCCAACTGTTAAATTAAAGGCTATAAAATTTTCAAATGAAAAAGAAACAAGAAAGGTCTAGCTTCATTGTCCAGAGGAGATCATGGTAATGACAAATCATCAAACAATCAAATAAGTATTTAGTGTACCATATAATATGGTAATAGAGATCTTCGGCAGCCTATTTGAGCTAAATATATATTTAGAGACATACTGCTTCGAGTTTGCCAAGGGCTCGTTCCAACTTGAGAGCTAGTTGATGGTTTTCATTCATCAAGGATTCAATCTGCATTCAGGCAGGAAAAAAACGCTTCATTACATGTACATTTCAAATGATGACCATCACTTCAATCTCTATTTAGGGAGAAAAAACCAAATAACAGTTGAAAAAGAAACCTTTTGCGACTCAAAATACAAGTTTCGATATCTGACAACTGCTCCCCGAGGGCTTCCAATTGGGGAAGAATCCTTTGTAGCCTGTTATAATCAGTGTCAACAAAATATTTTATCAAAATTCATAGGTTTCCACCTTTAGGAAGACCATATCATGATCTGCAAAAGGCAAATTACATTTACGGCAAACGAAGCTTGAGTACCTTGAAGTTCAATTCTTCTATAGTCTTTAGTTGTTCATCAATTTGTTTGTAAAAGATAGTCAACTTTTTCTTCGAAGCTCTTCTGCGTCTTGATTGGCTATGGTAGTTCCTCGTCCTCATCAAGTGGCACAACATCCTTTTCACCTTCACTCAAAGTTATCTCTTCGATTATACGGTCAATTTCCTTGTCTTGGGAGGGAGAAATTGCATTTTGAATACGTTAAGATCTCCCAACCACAGAAAGAGCGGTGTGTTTATTCGCCTTCGTAAGTGAAGACAAATCGGCAGAATTTGTGTGCTTTGACATTTTTAGATGAAAGATTTGAGCTTTCAGGTTGCTTTTCCACTCCTACGGTAGGGTCTTTAGCCTCAAGCTTAGATTAGAATTCCACAATTAAAATGAGACAGAATCCAAATATCTATGCCATTGCAAAAGAATTTCAGCTTCAAAAACTAAATTAGTTTCGATTTGCATAACGTAGGAGCAAGCAAAGCACAGGGAATAAAATTACAAATAACATGCAGAATTGAACATAAATCACATACAACAGTTGTCCAAATTCAACATGCAACTGACTCGACCAATGATTACACCATGAATTAGAAAATAAAAAGCAACTTACAAGAGTCCATAATTTATTTTCCAGGAAAATCCATAAAAGTTGCAAGTCAAAGTTTATACCAGAAAAGGCGTACGGTATCAAGTGTCATTGTCATATTGAATATAATTAAATGAGACAATGGAACCTTCTTTTACCAAAACAATATTTTTTTTCATTAAAAAAAACAACCCTAAACCTAAACAAGTTTTTCGTCTTTTAAAATCAAATCGATATGAACAGAGACCAAACAAAAACTAGTCGTAGCCCCAAGGACGACATGCAAATGAACATATTCGACATTCAGGAAGAAAGGAAAAAAACATAAATTTAACCCTAAGAAAAAGAAAAAGAAGTGAACTTTGCTATTGAAATTTTACAAAAAGCAAAGTAAAACAGGAGTTAGATTTTACCATGGGATGCTTTGTTTGGCGCTTCACAACAAGTGGTCTCCTGCCCATTTTTTTTCTTTCACACCCAAAAAAGCTTCAAGAACCTAAACTGCTGCTGCTTATAAAATATCACCCCAAATAAAAAAAAGGATGAAAACAAAACTCTAAAGTTAAATCTGCTGTGGTTAAAAGGATGAAGTAGTGAAATTACATGCAAATTAGAAAATAATATTAAAATATTATATAATTAAGGGTAATCGTGTCTTTTATGTCAACCTAACCACATAATTAAGGATGGTAAACGGATACAATTTCGTGGATTCCGCATCGTACCCGTTCTAATTAGGGAAGAGATAGGTATAATTTTAGTGGATAGTAGACGGGTGTGGATTTAAAAAGTGATACTCGTCGCAGGTAGTGGACGGGTAATGGATTTGAGACCTTACTCACCCTGCACCCGTCAACCCCACATCCACATGCCCACTAAATATCCATTAAATTTTGGATTATTATAAATTTATGTATTATTTTAGGGTTTGTCATTTATGTGTGTCAAAGAACAAAAATATTATGTGTTTGTCATTTATGTTTCTAGGCTTTAATTATATCTTTTATTATGGTGTTTTATGTACTTCAAGATCTATGTTAACACTTAACTCAGATAGTCATTGGTTTATTTTATTATGTTTCTTAATGGACGTGTTTATTTTATGTTTGTTGCTTATGTATAACTTAATGTTGTTGTCAGGCAGGTCTAGCCGGGTACATATCTAGTTGGGTAGTGGGTGTGGGGATGGATTTGAGAATGTACCTGCTTGGGCGGGTGTGGATTTTAAAAATTTTACCCATCATAGATGGTAGGCAGGTGGTGGATTTGAAAATATTAGGTAGGTACGGGATGGGGGAGGAATATTCGCACCCGACCTGCTCGTTTGCCATCCTTACACAAAATTAGGACGACAAAATCTAGTAAAATACCACACATTATAAATTTATTTCTTTAAAACATTAACGTATTCAATAATCTACTATAAATAATAAGGGTGTAAATAAATAGAATATTCGATAAATTATTTATGAATTATTTGTATAATGCTCGTTTACTAAGTAAATTAAATGAGTATGAACAAAAAATATATATATTCATTTAATAAACGAACGAAAACAAACATATGTGTGTTTAATTCATTTATGTTCACGAATAAATTCATTTATCGACTCGTTTATAAGTTTGTTTATCTTATTTCCTTTTATATATTTACATTTTAAATATTGGTAAATATATAGACTAAATTAAACTGTGAAACCTAAGAAGTTAAAGATAAGTGGCGTAATTTTTTCTATTTTATTTGGTTTACAAATAAAATGATAAAAAGAGAATGTTGGTTTTTGAACATTAAACTAATGTTAAACGAATGCATTCACCAACGTTAAATAAACATAATGCTAAACGAATGTGTATGTTAATGTTAAAAAGATCGAATATGAATACTTTTAAAAAATAAATAAACGAGTACCATATAAAAAAATTAAAGAGAGAACATTAATCTAAATATCAAATTTAATTAATCTACATCCCTGACCTTAAAGCACCTCTAAATTCAATTATTTATCCTCTCATAGAAATTAATTAAGTCTGGGCCAAACAATAAATCTATTACATGTCAGTTTTATACAAATTTATAATTTTAATTTATCTTTTCAAATTAATATATACATACATTTAGTTTTATTCATTTTACTGTGAATTTTTTTTATCTTTTTAAATTCATTTGTTAATAGTAATCTTAAACAATTAAATTTTAAATTATATTTTTGTACAACACTTTTAAAAATTCGTTTCTATAATACTTTTAAAATTTGTTTTTACAATAATTTTAAAACTCACTTTTTAAAAATTGTACTAAACTGGCTCTAATTCGAAAATTGGTTTATAATGAGTGTTAATCTAATAATTGATTTTTTAGATGATATTTAGATAAAATACCAATAAAACATGCAATTGATGTATTTAATAATTGACGGGTTTTGCACACGGATAACTTTGTGCATTAAATATAATTATTATATAATAATTTATATATCCAAGAATGAATTAGATAACTTTTTAAAAAAATTAATGAATGATCATCTAGCTCAGTTGGTAGAGCATAAAGTTCTCAACCTTGAGGTCGTGGGATCGAGTCTCATGGGAGGGCATTTTATAATTTGGAGGTCTCCTACGGAAGCTGCTCTCAACCTAGTGTTGGGGCAACCTACTATCTTACCACCCCCTTACCCCATTACATATGGGAACAAGGGCCAGCCAGCCATTAATCCTAATTTTCCTCGATGTTTTTTTAATCAATATAATATTCCTATGCATTATTTTTATTATGGGTCAAATAATAATTTAACTTTATAATTGGTATCGGTTAAATATAAAATTATTAATAAAATATTAAAAATAAGAGAGAATATATTTTTATTTAATTCCTCTAAAAAACAAATCAAACAATTTCAGTGATTAAAAGAATTTTTGTTATCCTTTAAGATTCTAGGTGCTCGCGCATATATTAGGATTATGCACGTTTATTATCAAATAGTTGAGAATCTTTAAACAAATATTATTTTATATACACTCAAATTTATAGAAAAAAATAACTATTCTAAAATATATCATAAGTAGTACAAGATAACGATTGCATGTATCTAATTGCTGAAAAATCTAGAAATTATATATTGGATAAAATCATAAAATTTTCATATCACTTGCATATCTCCCAAATGCAGAAAATTGAAGGTGTTTTTAGAATTCATTTTACAAAAACATTTAATGTGAGTTTTTTTTTACAGTTTTCATATTTTATAAAAAATTACAAGTAGAATCTTTGATGATTTAATTACATCATTATGATCACAATTATGCACAAACTAGGATTGAATATTAATTCTCAGTTCAATTAATTGATATAATTTTTTTTTTAAAACACATATCTAATATACTTGAATAGCAATATTTACTTGGCATATAAAAACACTTTTATTAGTGAAGTAAGCGGGAGTGATGGAATAGAGAGCAAAAGCTAAGACAAAGTGATCAATGTCTTTTCCATTAGAGTTTACTACAATATCTAAACTACATTTTTATTTCCTTTGAAATGTGTGGCAGACTCAAAAGATTGTAAAAGTTGTAGTGGGTTTAAGAGGCTATGACTTTCTGCCTTCCCCCTCCTCTCCTGCTATAAATCATCCCCCACCCCCTGTCACTCTTCTTTCATCTTCACCTACCTGTGATTTCACAAAACTCCAAATTTAGGAGGTGAGGAGGAGGGGGAAAAAACTTTTAACTCCCCTGTTTCTGCTCTGTTTGTTATTTGGCTTGATTTTGGATAAGAAAATGTCCTCAAGCGTCTCTCAAGGGTTGCAATCATGTCTGGAGGTGGTTGAATCACGTTTCTTGAGGCTGAAACTCGTTCCACCCTTAATAAACTACACTCGGCCATATAATGAAGGAGCAAACACCACCAACAATAAGAACATCGGCAATGATTGCAAGGCGATAGCCAATCGGAATGCCGACATGGGTGGTTGGAGTTCCCTCCGGTCCCTCTCCGACGCCAAAGCTCCCACCGAGGACGACAAAGTCTACGTTCACCCTCTCGTTAAGCGTTCTAGGCTAAGTGGGAAAAGCCTTGAAATGTGCACGGAGCAATTAGGTAGCGAAACCGGAAGTGAAGTTAGCGATTGCAGCGATGATATTTCGTTGGAAACTCGAATCGTGGCTTGCGGTATTATTCCGTCCAAGCCGAGGGAATGTTCGTCTAAGAGAAAAATGAGTCACGGCAGCAGCTTTCCGCCTCCTTTGACGTCCATTAGCGGTTCGAATGGCGTTCGGGTCAAGTCTCATCGAGAAAACGGTCGCCTAGTTCTTGAAGCCGTTAGTTTCCCTCCCTGTCATAGTTACTTCCGTGCAGAACGTACTGACGGGAGGCTTAGGCTTTCCCTCAAGGACCCGGTTCTCGACGACGAAGAACAAAACGATGGTGAAGAAGTCGAAATCCAAGTCGAAGAAGATGAATTTTACGGGGAAACTGAGAATAAAGAAGGAAACAAGGGGAATGTTGGAGGTGAAACTGAGACAGGGAAGTTACCTATGCCAAGCAACTGCAAAGAAAGTGGGCGTGGCCACAAAGGCGGCTTGCTTAATTGGAAATCATTCTTGGTGGCTACATAAAAAACATGGCTAAAATTGGAAGATTTTTCACCACCCCCAAGTGAATTATCAATACCATCGTTGGATTCCTTAATTTCCAATTTTTCTCCCTTTGTTTTCTAATTTTCGGTTATTACAAATATTAGATTACGTACCATGGATTTCGTAAAATATGCTATTGTTGGTAGTTATTATCGTTATAGGACCACCCCCCGTGCTACATTGCCCTCCTATTAATAAAACGTTATGTTTCTTTATCTGGGTTGTTTTATCTTTTACCTATACAAATTCTTACAATTACTTCCAGAGCATGACCGAGTCAAGATTTGCACAAACAAGGGACAACAATCTAAGGATTGCCTTAGGAACCACCGAGTGTTGTGAGTTGTCTGGTCCCAATCCAAGCACGATCGATTACTGGGGTTGCCTCTAATTTTTTTTGCTCGTCGCTTTCATAGGGCACATTTCGTAGGACTGTCTGTCGGAACCATCTTTCGGTTCAACCTCGGAATTGGGTTTCGACACCATCTTAAAACGAATTTAAGTGGGTCGGACACCATCTTACCTGATCTGTGTTGTACCAGAAACGTATCGGGTTCGGGAGTCGGTTACAGTCAAGGAAGGATTAGCACCCTTGAACCGCTCTTTCGGAACCAATTATATTGCCGGTTGACTTAGTTGCGAAAATTAAAAATTAAATTAAAATTTAAAACATTCGATTCGAATTACTTACCATTGATCGGAATTCTTCTAAAAAAAGGGTCGAAAATGTTAGAAAAATATTTAAATAAAGAAAAAAACATAAGAAAAAAACAAGATAAACAAAAGAAAAAAAATAATAATAATTAAATAAATCAAAAGGGAAAATAAGATAAAATAAAAAAATATATATTAAGTAAATCAAAAGAAAGGAAAATAAAATGTCAAAGTAAAAATAGAAATAGAAAGGAAAAAATAAAAAGGAAATGAAAAGATAAATCAAAAGGAAAACAAATGCAGAATAAATAAAAACGAAAAATAAATAAAAACGAAAAAACGAAATAAAACAAAAATATACATATATATATATATAAAAGATTAAAGAAATGATAATAAATAAATCGAGACAATGAACAGTTGAAAAATTAAAAGGACTAAATTGAATGAATTGAAAATACACAGGTGAAATTAAAATAGGTGACCAAATTAAACATGCATAAAATTGGAAATCAAAATTAAAAATATCAAAAATTGATTTCAGTGACTGAAATGTAAAATCTGAGAGTTATAGCCCCTAAAAGGGGTTTACTAGATTTTAAAATTACGCATCGACCCCTCCCTATATCTCCCAACCGGCGTTTAAGGCCAAAGCTCTCTCATTTTTACATTTTCGGTCTCTCTCTACAAAATGAGAGAAAGAAATTTCTCTCATCTCTCTCTAATCCGGTGGTAACCCGACCATCGTCAAGTGGCCACTCCTCCGCGCCGGCCGCCAGAGACAGCAGTCGAAAAAACCCCAACTCAAATTAAATAGATCCTCTCCACACCGTGACTCCGAAAATAACCCTCAAACTCCCAGAAAATCCCATACTCGACGTAGATCTAACATGCAAGCCTCGGGTTTTCATCTTTTTTAGGGAAACACTTCGCTTTCTGGCGCCTTTCCTCCGATGATGTTCTTTGTTGGTTTTGGTGAGAAAAGGCTTCGCCTTTGGTTTCTTTTTATGCTCTGTTGTTGTTTTTATTGTTGGCCGTAGGTTCTGTTTATTGTGTTGGTGATGTCCTCGGTCTTACTATTGGTCGATGTTGTTGTGTTGATGGTGTTTTGGGTACTGTGTGGTCTCTCTGTGATGGTGTTCTTGTTGGCTATTTGTGTTTCTCGGTGTTATTTGGTTGTGGTTTTGGCCTCGGTTTGAGGTTTGCTGGATTTGTTTTTGCTCGTTGTTGGTTAGAACTCTCGGTTTACTGTTGATGGTCCCCTCTGATCGTTGAGTCCCCGGGGTATTTTTACCCTGCTCGGTGAACCAGTACCCCGAGTTGTTCCGTTTTGCTCGGGGTGTTGCTGCTGAAATCCCAAGATGATTCAGTCCCGGGATCCTCGGCCGACGTCCGGCCGTTTCGCGTGACCCTTGACCTTGTTGCGCGGTGCCTTGACTTTAGGGTTTTCAAACCCTAAACATCATCTGGTTACTAGACCATTTCGTAGGACTTTTGGGCTGTTTTAGGCCCGATTATCTTGGACATTATTTTAGACCTTGAACAAAAAAATAAATGGATAAGAAATAATAATAAATAATAATAAATAACAATAATAAATAAATAAATATATAAATAATAATAAATAAATAATTATATTAAAAAAACTGTATAATATAATATTTTTAAAAACGTTTCTTTTTTAAAAACTACATATTATATATAAATTTTCAAAAATGTTTTTTAAAAAACTATATAATTTTCAAAAAATACTTTTTTAAAAAACTATATGATTTTCAAAAAATGTTTTCAAAAATAATATTTTATATAAGTTTTCAAAAATGTTTTTAAAAACTTAATTTTTTTTAAAAACGTTTTTTTTAAAAACTACATATTATATATAAATTTTCAAAAATGTTTTTTAAAAAACTATATAATTTTCAAAAAATACTTTTTTTAAAAACTATATGATTTTCAAAAAATGTTTTCAAAAATAATATTTTATATAAGTTTTCAAAAATGTTTTTAAAAACTATATATTATATAAATTTCAAAAAATGTTTTTAAAAACTATATATTATATAAATTTCAAAAAATATTTTTAAAAACTATATATTATATAAGTTTTCCAAAAATGATTTTAAAAACTATATATTATATATTTTCCTAAAATATTTTAAAAACTATATATTATACAGTTTTCAAGTGTTTTAAAAACCATATATTATATACATTTTTAAAATGTTTTTAGAAACTATATATTATATACGTATTTTCAAACCGTTTGCAAACTATATAATATATATATATATATATATATACAATAATAAAAATATGGACGGAAATAAGTGTCTACAGTTGTCCCTCTTTGTCATTTTTCGTAGAACGAAAAAATAAGACAAAGATAAAAAGACACAAATTTTCGTCCGATGGAGTTGAAGAATAACTTCCTGTCGAATTGGGTAGCGGATGGCTCCTCCGTTGCGAAGTCGAGTTCATCTTGAAAGATATTATATGAAACCATAATTCAGAGTTTGAATCGAAATGTGGCTTCTCGCCTCGGTCTTTTCTCGGTTTGAAGACCTTGGTTTGAAAATTCGACTGGAAAATATTTCTTTGACTCCACCATCTGGTTGACAAGCTCTCGAGCTAAATAAAATCGAACCCGAAAAGTCTTCGTTGACAGATATCTTTTCTCGACTTAAGCTACGCTGCCAGAAAATAGTTTATTGTCACTAAGGTACGGTTAATCTAGGTCTTCTTCTTGACTTGAAAACCTCGATTGCAGCCGGATAATAGTGTGATTAAGGTGTCACCGAGCTGAATAGAATCGAACTCGACAATTTATTGACAGATAGCCCTTCTTGCCTTGAGCTATGCTGCAAATGATGTGCCTTGGAGTTGAGCGTAGTCAAACTTAAATGTATTTGGTGGCAGATAACCCTTTTAGCCTTGAGTTATGCTGCAAATGATGTGCCCTCGAAGCTGAGTGTAAACGAACTCGAAGGTCTTTGGTTGGCAGATAGCCCTTCTCGACTTAAGTTATACTGCAAATGATGTGCCTTGGAGCTGAACGTAGTCGAACTCGAAGGTCTTTTGGTGACAGATAACCATTCTAGCCTTGAGTTATGCTGTAAATGATGTGCCCTCAAAGCTGAGTGTAATCGAACTCGGGGGTCTTTGGAAGATAGCCCTTCTCGACTTAAGCTATGCTGCAAATGATGTGCCTTGGAGCAGAACGTAGTCGAACTCGAAGGTCTTTTGGTGACAGATAACCCTTCTAGCCTTGAGTTATGCTGTAAATGATATGCCTTGGAGCTGAGCGTAGTCAAACTCGAAAGTCTTTGGTTGGAAGATAACCCTTCTCGACTTAAGTTTTGCTGCAAATGACGTGCCATCGAAGCTGAGTGTAATCGAACTCGGGGGTCTTTGGCAGATAGCCCTTCTCGACTTAAGCTATGCTGCAAATGATGTGCCGTTAAGATGAGCGTAGTCGAACTCAAAGGTCGTGTGTTGGCAGACAACCCTTCTAGACTTAAGTTGTGCTGCAAATGATATGCCTTGGAGCTGAGCGTAGTCGAACTCGAAGGTCTTTGGTGACAGATAACCCTTATAGCCTTGAGTTATGCTGTAAATGATATGCCTTCGAAGTTGAGTGTAATCGAACTCGAAGGTCTTTTGTTAGCAGATAACCCTTCTCGACTTAAGTTATACTGTAAATGTTGTCTTAAAAAAATGGCTCCCCTTCACATGTCTAAGCTGGTCGTAGTTCTTCAGGTGTTCTCCTGAGCGAGTCTGAACCAAATATGATTTTTGGATGATTCCCTTCACAGGAAAACCCACAGATAAATTCTGTCAGCCGGATATCTTCCGTCGTTGAATTGAAATCTGGCTTGAAAGTATTAACTGAAAACATGTTGCTCATGGTGAGTTTGAGCCAAACTGGATTTGATTTGAATTGGTTGTCGAACCTATCTCAAATTGGTTCTGAGATGTCAAGTCGGTTGAGGTGTAGTTTCTTACTGCCGAGTTAAGAAACCACCATCCTTCTTTGAAGGCACTTGAGAATCGAGTATCCTTCATCCTGAAGTCAAAACTTGACTCTAATAGCTGCAAAAAAAACATGTATGCTAAAATGATGAATGTGATGCACCTAAGTATGTCTAAGATGCATGAAATATGAATGAATTATGTGTTATCTCCTGGATGAAGTCTCGTGCTTTGTCTGGCAATCTGGTCCATGGAATTGATCGTGCCCCATCATTTTTCAAGCTTGGGCTTTACAGACCCTTCATATCTGAGATTGTTCTATTTGAAAATGTTTTTATCATTTTTCTTATTTTAGGAGGGAAAATGATAAAAATGCTATAAAATATTGTTCGCAGTTGAATCAAATTGTAAACGTGGGTTCAAAGAATATCAAAGGAATCAAGAGCTCTTTTAAAGCTTTTAGAGTTACAGTACAGCTCTTTGAAAAATGTTCAAATGGATGAGTTGGTTTTAGGTTGGTCTCCTTTCTAAGGTT